ATGTGATACAAGGAGCCAGCCAATGAGGAGTAAGTGCGCATTGCGATCCTGTGCAGGAGGATTCTTGGTAGTGATCAATGGCTGAGTGGAGCTGTCCGCGGTGCTGAAAGTTACTTCGTGATGGACTGCCCTTCAACACAAGGGACAGCGTCGCTTTTATCAGATCTCTCTCTCTCTCTGTGACGTTCTAAGCACCATAGAAACAACGCAGTCTTAAAGACAAAGTCAAGTCTGACATAACAACGTTAGAACTTTACCCCCAACAAAACCTTGTGAGCGAACTGTGCAGCCCTGGCTGAAACATAGGACCGGAAACTCCACAGCGTGAAACCAGCCCCGTGACTGAATGTGTCGCTTGTGCATGATCGGGACCCGGCTGTGGTTTATGTCTGCACAGCTGTTCAATCTCAGACAGTTGACTGGATTTCCTCCGGGTGATATAACTCTTCTGCTCCATTAATAACGCAGCCACCAGCGGTCACATCAATCTGCGGCTGGAGTCAGACACCCGCCTCGGTCATATGAGTGCACGCCACAGCCCCGCGCGGTCACATGGTCGGCAGCCAATGAGCTGAATGAGTATGTTGTAAATCAGCGGTCGTAGACCGAGTGTGTGTGCGCGAACGCGCGCGCGTGTGTTTAGTGCAACGTGGATGAAACGGGGAATGGTCTGGACGGAAGAAGAGAAGTAATCAAATACAGAAACACACACTATTAGAAGGACATTGTTTACCAAGGTTTTTTTTTTTTTTTTTTTTTTTTGCCCACATGTGTAAAACCAGTCAGATCTAGAATTCAGAGGATGATTTGGTTGTCGTTGATGTGGTTCGAAAGTAAATAAAAAGTTTTAGGTGGAGTTTATTAAGGACGTTGTCTTACTTGAAAGACTTCCTATTAGCTTTACTTCTCTGATAAGAGAAAAACTGTCAGTTTTCAAGTCTAAGAAAATCCATTTGTCAAATCATACATTCTGATTTATCTTTGTTTGCAACGAATACTTTTTTTTTTTACAATGATTCGTGAGAGAGTTAATTGTAGAAAGTACAGGAATTTGTAGAATACTGGTCACCATGTCCTAACATGTCAAAAAGTAGTTTTAAAAAATCAACATTCTGTTGGATTTTATTTGCACGTTGTTTTTTTGTTTATTGTCAGTTTCCTTTGGTTTTGTTTCAGGAAGAACTTTACTGGTTTGTTTGTGTACTTTTTCCTGAAGTTGTGCAATAAATATAGCAAAGACACGGCACTATTAACACCGCAAGTCTAACAAAGGTCATGGCTGAGTGTAGTTGGAGTTGATCCTCATAGAGTGAGGTTGGGCTTCTCGTCCCACGGTTCATGACCATGACGTCGCGCCTCTTGTTTTGGTGTTCTCTGCCCAGTGCTCTGCACCTCTCACATTCTGCCGAAGCCGAAATGGATCCTTGCATGCGGCGGCTCCGTCCTCTCCCAAGTACCATAAGGCCTTTCGCGGATCACTGTGTGGTACCCTGCTGCTGCTGCTGCTTTAAACAGCAGCACTGACATGGAAACCCCTTTGCTGCTGCAGAACGATTTGCAGCAGCAGCATCAGCAGCAGCAGCTCCAGCAGCACGACAAGTACCAGCACTATAATAACTGCGGGCGGGAGGAGGCGGAGGATCGGCTCGGCAAGCAGCAGCAGCAGCAGCAGCACGACCAGTGGTGCACCTGCAACAACTGCTGCTGCACCTGTGATGCGAGGAAAAGCCTCGTCTTTATCCGCGGGACATCAGCGACCACTGTGGGAACTTTGAGGACACCCTCGGAGACGTCTTCCAGGCAAGGCTGCCACTACAGCGTCTGCCAGATCACACCTTCTAGTCATGGTAGTTCATCTAGACATCATCATCATCATCATCCTCAACACAACCAGCTTCAGCTTCAGCAGCAGCAGCAGCAGCAGCATTGCCGCGGTCGGCAGCGGGGCAGCCTGGGCAGCAGCCGCCG